CACAAGACATTTTAGACATTTCAGGTGTATGTATTTTAAATTAAAGGCTGACACTAGCAAGCTCTTAAAAATGCCAGACTTTTTCCTTCTGTTAATATCAGATCACAACCATGAGACAATTAAAAAAGAATCCTCGTCTGTCCAGGCCTTGCTCGGCTCTACTCTGGCTCTAGTCTGGTTATCAGTTTGTCCCAGCTGCACAGTGGTTTCTGACTCACATGATGCATTACACGTGCCTCAGTGGTGGTGTTCTCACTGAACATGCCCCAGTAGCTTGGTTTCGCAGCTGTGTATTCGCTTCCATCTCTGTCCCTATGAATGAGCTGCAGCAAGCACCAAGCAGAAACAAGTGACCCACCTTCAGATCTCTGGCTAGGTTGATATGCTTGGGGCTGTGCAAAAAATCGGAACCACGGTGCTGAAGCTGCTGAAAGGCTTTTCCAAAGCTACACGTGGTTTTAACGCATCCTCAACAGGCAAACTCACAAAATGAAGCAGTTAGCATTCAACATTCGCTAAAGACAACACCTGGACACAAGCGGTAAAAGGGGTTCTTCATACGGCCTGATTCAACAGAAAAACTACAGCCCTCCAGACATCGCCCTTTCCGTTTCTGCAGCACTGCCCGTTGATTTGGTGCCAAGTTAACGCGGTGTTCAGGGCACTGGGCATCCCTCAAGTGGTTACACCCTCCCTCACCGCCCCTTACAAAACCATGCTCCGCGTCTTCACCCCAACAGGCCTGCAGAACTCAGCCCAAAGCACTGCACACCTCATACAGCCCGACGTGTGCTGTACACTTCATCAAAATCACTTCCCCAAGCCCCAGGAGCTTCAGCCACAAAGGAACATGTTTCTACAGCAAGCTTAAAATAAAAAGGTTAAGAAGAAACATTGAGTTAAAAGTTTTATTCATTCAACATCTCACATTACAAATATTTAAAAATTATATGCATACTGGTATAAATAGTCATTTGCAAACTATTTAATAACATTAATTTTCACTAGCACTTCAACAAATGAACTCTTTAAAAAAAGTAACTTGTGTTATATAACTTAGAGTAGAACATACAAAAATATGAACTTAAACGTGAAAATGACTTTAATAAAAAATGAATTACCCTTATTTAAAATGCTATAATAAATACTACAACCTCCCCATACACAGTAAAAACTATATGGAAATTCAGCCAAGTAGTACAATTAACTGACATACTTAAATAACTTTTCCTTCTGATAATATGAGCAATACATTGGGGGAAAAACATATTAGGGATTAGTAAAAACTAGACACCCACTTGCTAAAAGTTTCACTTCCAAAAAATATAACAAAAAAATCTGATGAAAATTATAAAAACTAATTATACTTTAAAATTTAAAAATATAAAAAATAAAACAGTTGAATACAATATTGTCCCAATTCTTACAATGCTATCACAGTAGCTTTAAAATAAGATAATAAAATAAAGCAAATGACCAAAACCTTTTATTCCATTTTTTTTAAAAATAATCTCAAATTTACATTAGTAGAAAGATTGATTTCTGATTCTTTTCTTTAGAAACACCAGCAAGAAAGAGGATTTACTAGAACAGTAGAAAATGACATTTTTAAATGTCTGCAATTAAAAACAAAGAATTACACTGCAAAGATCTTCCAGAAGTCTGAAATAGGTATTGCACATAACTTGAAGTTAACTTGCCACAATTCATCACATTCAAGTTTCAAATCACCTTTTAACAGAAGGTTTTAACTCTTCAAAAACAAAAGGGGTGAATTATCAAGTCTTTCCAACAGCATCCTTATAAAACGCTAAATTCATTCACTGCAAGTTTTAAATTTGCATTCTGCAGAGGTCTGTGTATGGAGAAGTATATACTATACCAAAAAGCACGGGGCAGTGGGGTTCCTTTACATATAAAATAATCAGAAACACTTTTATTTTACATTGCAAAAATAACCATGTAATTACTCTGTAACTATATTGTAAATACATGGCCGGTGCCATGCTAGTGTGATAAAACTACATGCTTATTAACCCCTTGAAAATTGAAGTGATACCCTAAGACCGGTAACCCAATTACATGTTCGTTATGGTCGGAGCTACATGGTAACCCCAACTACAAATCCCACGTAATCAGAAGGACATGTAATCACTATTGAAGTACAGAGTAATGTATATAATTGTTTATGCCCTGTAAATTGAAGTGTAACCAAATAATCTGTAAACACGCTTGTCACACAATCACAAGTGAATATTAGTAGAATAACAGTTTCTTACATTAGTCATGCATACTAACATTACATGCCTGCCACCTAGCAGGCTCTCTTTTACTCTTTAAATAGAATTTAAAAGAGCAGACACATTTCTGCATCAAACACCTAACATCAATTTTTTTTATTAATATTAAAAATGGCTAAACATTCACCAAAAACGTCTGCATTTGTGTATAATTTTTAAAAACTTAGTAAGAAGCGGTAGACAATTTTGATGTTTCTTTACTTTTAAATTTCTACACTATATTTATGCATTTAAATTTCATGGGTCTAAAGACAGTGTCATTTGTCACTTTCATGCTTTTCTTCTTTAATTCTCAACTTTACATATACTATTTCTTAAATTATATGTACACCAAATACCTGGTGCTGGGCTAAGATGTTTAAGCAACATGCTTTCTTTTCTCTGCAGATTCTAAAATAGCATTGCCAGTGCACAACATCCATAATTCAAAATGTATGCAGAGCACTGAAATGTATAAAAAGCAGAATATAAGAAAATAAAATTTATTAAAATTATTTATATTAAAAAATGAAGTATATGAAGATCTCTCAGTAATAAAAGTACAAAAAGCTACTCTTTGCAATATGAAAAATTGAGGTATTGCATAAAGAGATATCCCGTCAGTGAAAAGTGTGCCTAAAAATGCTCACTGTTGGAAAAACAAGATATACAAAAGTAGTGCATAACAAATATACATTATGTGCATGACAAAATAAGTTAGCTACAAAAACACTGTACCGAAATTCAGCAGGTCATGTACAAAGGGAAAATTATTATTCAAAGCTAGTTCTCAAACAGTGTTATTTCTTGTAATGGTAACCCATCTCACCTGTTTACTGGGTAGGATCGGCACAATAGCACACCCCAAGCCACCTACAAGCATTAAAAAAATTAAAGGAACATTCCAACTATAATTATGTACTTCAGAGAAAAAAAAGTCCCTGACAATCTACACAAGAGCACTCTGCATTTGCATTACTGTTGTCAATATTTTCAGGGATTTCATTAAAAGCAGCTCCCTTTCTATACTTGACTAGTAGACAGCAAATGTCTCCATTTTGACCTTTGGAACTTGGTACGATATAGTTCATTAAAGCCTGTATTGAAAATAAAAACTGCTTCTCATAAAGATAATCTGGGCTAGGGGAACGGGACGAGGGGGGCCAAGAAAGGCTTTTAACGGAGCAGATGTTTTCCAAGCAGTGCCGAGGCAAGTCTTTGGTTTGAGAGAATCTAGGATGGTACCACGCCACTCGGGCAGTTCAGAAGATTGCCACTAAATTCGTTTGTTTGCACACTGCTAAATAATCATTTGAGAAGTTGGCCAGGGCATTAGTTCAAAAGTAATAAAAATAATTTTCAGAACTACTCCTTCATTCAACTATTTCAAACTAAACCCCTGCACCCACTCTTTATCACTCAATTAACATGTACTGTGTTAATGCTTCTCAAGGTAGAACTTATTTATAATAAAGCAGGCATTAACTTAGCAATGTTGGCACTTCAAATACCTGTGTTTCTTTATTTCCCCATATTAAGTTCTGAAGAGGTGGAACCTTAGCTGGGATTCTTTCTACAGGAAGAGTAAGAAAGGCATACGCACACTTGCACCATTTCATGCACAAATCCAGAAAATAGTGCAAAACAAGACTTGGAAACTACTTAGGTTCATGCCTTCAGTTACAACTAAGTTAGAGGGTATTTAAAACTAACTTTACAATCCAAGATGGAAAACGAATAAGCAGCCAATTTTAGTTTGTGTGACACAATGGAATAGCAAAACTTCAATAAAAATCAGTGATATCCTTGAGGTATCTTTAGGTTTTCTACTTTTTCATGTCAAAATGGAGAACAAAGGCTGGCCCCTGATGAATGTTAGTATATTAGGATATAGAGTTATATATAGCCATCAAAAATAAAATCTATATATTTATCCTTCAGGAGAGGAAACGCCAGTTAACTAGTTGTCATTACTCTAGCTTTGGTAGGATTTCTAGGGCTGTAACCAGACAATTGGATTCTCTTAAAGGAAAAAAGAAAAGTGCACTCCCCCCTCAGTAGTAACTTTACTCAACTTTTACATTCAGGAATTCTTAAAATGTAATCACTTCGATGAAAATATAGTAAGCTCTGCCTATCTCATTAATAATTTGGATGTGGGTGGTAGTCAGAGGCACGGTCAGATACATACCGAGCTAAAATTTCAGCCTCAAAACCCTTAACAGTTCTTTTTTTTTTTAAAAAAAAGATCATTATTATAATGCTGCTTCAACTTTGCTCATGCATTTTTGTTGCTTTAAACATGCTCTTTCCTGTTGGCAGGTAAATGCTAACTTCATCTGTTGCTGGAAAAATCCAAAGTCGAAACAAAAAGAGAGGCAAAAACAGGCTTCCCTGGGGGAAAAGTGTCAGAACAGACTGATAGTGTTATTGTTACATGGTTATTTTAATAAAAGTATTCTTATGTTCTTTATTAACAATAATTTAATTAAAAAACCAAAATACTCTATTGTTTCAATTCTCTTAATATTTTTCTCTCCTCTAAGAAAATGTTGCACGAAATTAAGTGTTCTCTCGGTAGTAAAGACAAGAGAATGCAACTCACTTGCAACATGTTACCAATACGAAAAGGAGTTCCCAATACAGTTTTCAATGACAAGATTCTACAAAATACCCATATTATAGGTCATTCTTTCATTATACTATTGTTAAATTACAGACTACTACAAAAGGACATGCTATCTTGAATAAGAGAAAGGGTAGGGTGGGGTAGGGACAATCAGGATAACAGAAGAGTGCACTTAATTTGAGGCCTGCATATGAGCACTGCAGTGATCATTTAGTTCCAGCGGAATGAAATATGTCTTGGGCGATCTCCTCCCTCCTTCACCAGGGGCTTGTGGAATTCCCTGCCAGCGCGTGAATGGATAGCAGCCCAGCAATATTCACAGTAATACTGCAGACAGGTAACATTAGCACAGAAAAATGGAGCAAATTTTCCACCGCAACGGGCCCCCTGACATTCATCACAAAGCTGATCATCCAAGACATATGGCTTAACTTCCACCTGTATTCAGAAAACGAAAAGAAAGTTTACCATTCTTGACAACAATGTAGATAACGACAGTTGCACACTATTTACCACCCATGTTCAAGCAGGATTGCAATCACAGTTCTGTAGTAGTGAACATCACACACAAGAATTTTCCCCCTCATTACACATGATCATCACCACTAAACACCCAAAACTGCAGCCACTGAACTTGAGAACAATCCGGCTCCCACTGTCCTCCTTGATCCTTAAAAAACCCAGAAACCAATGCTGACCGTCAGCGTCACACGTGCTGTCACTGATTTACGGAAAGGACCAGTCAACCTGTTGGTACAGAACTGATGCACAGATTCACATCGCAACCCTGAGGCATTCTGGGCATTTAAGAATGGTGCACAATCAAGCTCCTGCCCTTTCAGGAGGGAATGTAAAGCGTTTACACAATGCTGTAACTGCAGATTAAATACGCACGTGATCTGCAAATTTCAATGCCTGAATTTCCAACTTCTAAAAAAATTCATTTATTATCTTCAATAAACAGCACATTTCTGTTTTCTTGGTCCTCTCAGCAAAAGGAAACCCACCTAATCTCGTCAGGATCAAATGAGAAGCTTAAAATGGGACTGATGGCCACCTACGCTGCTGGCATTAAGGGCCAGATGATGAGCAGGAATTCATTACAGCAGACAAGAAAGTAGAATAAAAATTTCTTCAAGTTCTTAACTGATAATGACTCACAGGAACTTACCAGCTGGTGCTCCAAGGATACATCCACACTGCAACATCTGCAGGCTACTAGCTTTTAATCTAGGCATTTGCACTCCCAAAACCAAGCCTGCTGTACTGTGGGCTACAAAACCCTGCTCACAGCACTCCAGAGCGCTTTCTCTGTGACAGCAGGGCAAAGCTTGCTGCTTGCAGTATCCAAGCTGGCTACAGCACAACTTGTTTAGACTTGCCTACGTGTTTAAATCACAACTGCAGCACTGCCATCCCCTAAAGGCTCAGATTCACCTCAAAACCAGTAACCACGTCCATTCCTTTGCTCCACAGAACTGCGAAAGGTCCATGAGACATATCAGAAGCACAACACAAAACTTCACATTAAAAAAGTATAGGTACAAGTTCCTGTTCTAGAAGCGTTTGTGAGCTTTCTCTGAAGCTCATTTAATCAGACGTTTTCACCAACTTTTCCAAATATCCAGACTGTGACTGGTGTCTTTATTGTCAACCTGCTATCTCTGCATCTGGCTTAGGGATGGTCCTTTCTGTATCCCACAAGCCTCAGAGGTATGCCAGCTCATTCAAATAAGGACATTCACAAGTTCCTGTGTTTTTAAACTTACCCAATTTTATCACAGTCCAGACAAGGCACTGCAGTAGTTTGATGTCATTTGTGCTTATACTACATATAAACGTTTTTTTCACTTTTCAGTTTTTCTCCTCTTCCGCTGCTAGTTGCTTTTCTCAAACACCCCTCCATGCCAACTCAGAAGAATGAATTTGTAAAAGAAGAGAGGCAGACAAATATTCTGAACACCAGGTTCTACATTCATCACCTGGTTTGCTCTGTAGTTTGAGGTTGAGTATTCATTGATGAGTGTTGTCTTCTGTAAGTGCTAAGAGGAAAACCTACAAATATGCAATGCAGGTCTTCTTAACACGGCAATTCTCCTGCTCTATTATGTCTACTCAGACATATTCAGAGGCCAAATACAGGTAATTATACCTCTGCTTGCTTTAGCCTGTTACTGCAGCACTGGTTTTTGTGCAAGTTTGCAACCCACAGATATTAGTCAGAGTCCTCAGTGCATTTATTCAGTGTGTGCTTATGTGCCAAATATGGCCTGCAATTGTTGCTTGTGCCAGGTATAGTCTCCCAGCTACAGAGAAAAAACTTAAATTACAGCAACTTCATCAGGCATGCTTAGGGTGGCAGCACTCATCAGAAGCCCCGCAGTGGTGGGTGCTGCCAGCCACGGAGTATTTAATTTACAGAACCTCTTTGAAGGGCACACCCTTTAGCAGCACCTCCTTGCCTAATTTTACAGGAAATCCCTTCTTGCTACCAATTTTTTTAAATTATTTTAACAGAAAAACTTTATTAGAACAATTATTAATAAATAGTACCTTATTAATAAAAAGTAGTATTGCCACTTTGTACTTTTATCTCTCTCATGTGCCCAACTCCTCTTATAATGAATTCCCTGAGCACTTACCTCCCTGCATTTCTTCTGAACTACACACAAAATGGGGAAATGAGGAGTGAGAGGAGAGAAGGAAGAGGAAATAGATTGCCAAATCTTTGCTAGAGTTCACAAGTACTTACTTAATTCATGGTCCCACCAGCTTCAATGGACCTATTCACCCAAGTATCTGCTTATGCAAGCAGAAGTTGCACAAGGGCGGCCCAAATTATTTGTTCAAAGCCTTACAGAACTTATTTCAGAGCCAAGATTAGAACAAAGACATTCCAATTCACAGCCCCACAGTCAAATTGTTGTTACAATTTTTCTACCCAAGCTTTATAGCCAAAGCAGAAGTGAAATTATAATCAGCTTATCAGTCAAGTTTGGGGATTTTCCTCTGTAACAATTATAAAATTAAGATCAATAATGACAGTCATGTAAGAAAAATCCAGAGGCAAAGCATGAATTAGCCAGAATGGTGGATGAAAAGATATGAGTTTCTTAAAACTGTGGCCTGAAGATCCCTGTAATTGTTAAAGTCACATTTTATATAGAAGAAGAGGGCAGAGGCAAGCAAACTGCAGATCCATTTGTCATAGTCCTTTAATTTATAATAATAAAGGAATAAAATAACTGGACACAGCCTTTACACAAGCTGTGAAGGATGACCGTGAGGCTGTAACACACACTAACAAGTTTGCAACGCATTACTACGATGGTCTTTAGGAGCACCCAGCAAACAATGTGCAACACTAGGGCCAGACTCTGCCCACCCTCTCAAAAGACACAGAACAGGAGTAAGAACTGCTCCATCCTTGGCAGATACCTTACTCCCTGACATTATACAAACACTGCAAGTGCAAATACTTGCAGTGGGAGTATATGACGAGTGCAATATTCTTATAAAAGGGCAAGGCAGCTGACATGCTTCCCATTATGCTAAGCAATTTGAGAAAGTCTGCTTCACAGTTGCCTCCCACGTTCCAGAAGCAACAGCTCTGTGCCGCTCCTTCATTTTTATTCTGTGTTGTATCGAAGTGGCACAATCTAGCCCTAAATATGCAATTAATCTGATATAACATTTACAGTCTTCACAATGACACACATTTACATGGAAAAGCATTTCTAGAGAAAGCACTGAACAAAAATAGAATAGGCTTGAAGACCTTACCCGTTTATCTATCTCTCCATGCTGCAGCTGAACAAAGCGAGCACTGATAGCAGCTATGTAACTCTGTTGATTAGAAAACGCAACCCGCCCAGCTCCTTTTGGGTACTTCAGCTCAGGGTCTGTGTCAATTCCAGCATAGCACACCCCTCCATACAGCCGATCCATTATCATTGCAAGTTCCACTAAACCAGAAAGGAAAACAGAACAGTAGTGTAGACTCGGTAATTTTTTCTAGAAACATCACATGAAACAGTCCATTTGTATTCATGTCCCCCGCTATAAGTGTCAAGAACACTTCATACTTCCCTTGCTGAAATAACTGGTTTCCCCCATTGCTCCCCAACTCAGACTGCATATTCAACATGCCCAGTGCTGCGGAACACGCAGTGTACCTGCTCGTAAAGGCCGAGGAACACCACCAACAAAAATGGTTTTTCGTGGGTCAAGAGGCTGTGAACCATCCATAACAAAATCACTATCACTAAGGTTCCAAGGCCGGATCTGAACCTATGGACAAAAAGCCTTTTTTTTTTAACGATTCACAATTCAAAGTATCTCAGTAATATAAATTAAAACAGTATCCTACAAAGAAGAAAACCTCTTAAACGGCTGTACTGTCTAAACTCATTTTCTACTTGTTCAGCAATCATTTCTCAAAATGAAATGGTAATAAGCTCTGTTAAGACAGACCACTTGATCGTACTAAATTTCACCACTTCCTTGTTACCCAAATTTCTGGGAAAAAACTCACCCTCTACTTACACATTTACTAATCATGACTGAACTGTGCTGCACAAACCACACTGGTGCATACGTATCTACGCTGTTCGTGTTGTTCTAGCCAAGTGTAAGCACTAGACGAGCGTTATCTCAATGCAACAGGCTCCAGTGAGAAAAGTTGTGTGTTTATTTTCCATGCAAAACTTGCTGCGTTCGATTTGCCTGCAGCTGGCCAAATTTGAAGTACAGGAATACAGCAGAAGTCTCTCCAACTACTCACAGACTCACAGCCCCAAAACCACCTGTACTAACAATTAACAGTTCAATGCCACGTTATGTTTTTTTGTCTGTTACATGCAACACTCAGACAGTACGAATTCTACATTTTAACCAATAATAAGCATAAAATACCTGTCTGGAAATATATTTATTACATCAGCAATGGTGAAATTTAGCAAACATTTTTCTAACAAAAATAAGAATTGTAACTAGATTAAAAAACTTCATAAAGTCTAGTTTAAAAATAAGTAAACTTTGAGAATTTAATTTGACACCTTAAAGAAATTTAAACACTAGTACTCTGAAGACAGAAAGAAAGAAAGAAGGCATCTGAAGAGAACAATTTCTGGTTATCATACAGGGGTGGTGCAGGCCTGACAATTCTACCTACCGGTTTGTCTTTGATAGTGGGGCTGGAAACACAAAGATAGAGCTTTCCATCTTCTTCAATACACGCATCAATCAGTGCCTGTACAGAGCTTTCATCTTGGAACAGCAAAAATGCATATCCTACGAAAGTGAAAACAAACACATAACTTCTTTTGTCTATTTGCCTATAGGATAATAGGATAATTCAACCCAAAATTATGCTCGGCATCACGTCATCATGCTACCATACAGTAAGAGACAAACTTTAAGGTGCTCTCACACGTTTCCAAGGCAGCCTCCTGCAAGTCCTGCGCAGAGACAGGAAGGAAAGCAGGGAGCTTGCTGATCATCACGCTTTCTTTGAAAACGGTAAGCCAGCAGTATGAACCACACAAAAGCCACAGCTGTAGAGTGAAACCTGCCAGGATGGTTGTTAATATAAGGCACAAATCCTTCCCAGCTTTGGTGGAGGGCATTTAGTTCCTTTAAAGAGGACTAATATTGACTATTATTAAAAAAATTAAGAACAACAAGGGAGAAAAAGGAAAATGGAATAAATTAAAAACGGGAAGTTAAGGAAGAATTCTTTTAGTGCAGAATAACTGCAAAGCCACATCCTAAATTCCACCAGCTTATAACAATCCCAAAGATCCAACTTTTTTCCCTTAAACATTGGGTCATTGTCAAAAAAATCTTGTCTAAAATAGAGTTTTATCAAGAAAAATTATTTTAAAATGCTTACCTGTTACTGGTTATGAGATATTTACCTTTAGGAGGAAAGTAAGATTTGCTCTCTGCCTTATGTGGCCAGTCTACAATCAAAGGCCCAAAGCGACGGAAACTAGCAGTGATCTCATCTGTAAACAGAGAAAGGAAAAGGCACAAAACTGAAATGAAAAGAAATTGAATGCAAGACACTTGAAGAACACTGATTTCAGGTAGCTTCACCCTACAAATAAACAATTCTGTGACCCTAAAGGTTCAGCATCTCATAGCAACACTCACGGGGAAGAGCTGACAGCTATTGGCTGACAGGGAATCTTTATGACAAGTCAGAACACATAGTAGAAAACAAGACAGGTCAAAGATCAAGTTCTCTTTCTGCTGCTGAGTATAAATAAAAGCTGATAACCCACAAATCCACAGAAATAGAGTCACTGCATCTATACAGCTATCATAACCCAGCTTCACCTATTCTCCCACAAACAGTTTAGAGACAATTTGCTGACCTGCTAGTGAGCAAGCAGCTCTGCCAACATGCCTTACAATTGCAGAAGGACTGGAAAAGAATGAAGGGACTATCACAAGACCCAGCCATGACTGTTCATATCACACGCCAGCGCCACGTGTGCAAGCACCATCTGAGCCTAAGGTCAAACTAACACAGAGTAACTTGCAGGACGTAGTTGTGTCATGTTACACACAGAGAGATGGCAAGAACACCGTACTATATCAAGAAGCAATTCTTGCATCCATTTCAATTCTGAGTTTGACCTCAAATTACCGGTATAAATTTGCATACACTAGTCCCATAGAAGTCTTCTAGTTGCAATTCTGTTCTTGAAATTGAGTGATTATTCCCTTTGCCTTCTCCTCAAACACACTTGAACCACTGCTAGTCAAACTTCCCTGGACAAGAATTTTTCATTAAAAAACTGAAACTAAAAGAACAAACTTCACATTGCTGAAGCGTCACCTGAATCGGCACACTGCTCAGCTCTTTCTGTTCATGCTATTACAGGGCGTTCTATACTAGCATGCTGTTAGGGGCTCCTAATACACAATTTAGAGGATCTTCCCCATTCTAAAATTCAGTTAGAAATCTGAAAAGGTGTTACTAATTATGTCTTTTTCAGTTTGTTTACACTCTGATGACATTGCTAACAAAATAGCAACTGACAATCCACTGTACTGACAGCTTCTCTGAACACTGCAGATCACTGGCAACACATACAGCAATTGTTGAGTGTTAAGGTTACACGCTGATGAAGATATAAACCAAGGAGAACAATAATTACTACAGACCTATTCTTAAAATAGATCTCCTTTCAGAACAGCACTTAACGCAAATTTAATGTTAAAGCACATACATAAAATGCTTTCTAGAAAAAGGATCAGAAAACCCTCAAAAATTCAGCTGCGATGTAGATTTTATATCATATACTCCTTATTCTAATTCACAGTTGTGCATTTAACAGGAAGAGCAGTGACAGAAGCAACTCTGAAAAATTCAAGCTAACCCTCCTAGCACAGGTTTAGGAAAGGCCCTATTCTTCAATAACCAGTGTCCACAGAGACCAAATTATTCATGTGCTCAATCTGCTTTTAAAATACAAAGGTGACAAAGCTAAAAAAACAAAACCCCAACAACAGAGAGAGAGACTGTAAGATCATTTTTCCTCTTGTACACACCATGTTACATTTGCCCTTTTAGCAATAAAGTAGCTCTTATGTTTGACATGAAAGTCTGGTTGTCACATCACAGTAGTACACACTGCAGCGCATTACAATCACCCTCCCTGACACAAAAAGTGGGTATTAAAACCATTCTGTGATTAAGAAAAAGCAACTTTTGAGATACATAGTTGCTGTAGCTCTTTTAACCACTATGCCAGCATGCTCATATATACAGAATACTGAACTCAGGTGAAGTGAAGCGTCACAACATTTGTGCATGATTTTTTTTTTCTTTTTTTTAAAACAACAACTGCAGTATTCTGTCACCTTTATCTGTATGATAGACCCACCACAAATTCCTGGTTCCTCACTGTATGCAACTGGCTCTGCACAGATTCATATATACAAATTTTATAAAACTAACAACAGTTTTCCCACTACTGGCTTCCGGTGCCTATAAAACAATTGCAATGTATTTATGAGTTTCAATAGGCATATTTACTTGTTTATTTTTGCTCCACTATCCCTTTTTTGTAATTTTTATACTGTGGAAGTCAGTTAAATGTGTGGTAACACATGACTTTGTTCTTCAGTGGCATTGTTCCTAAACTAGTTTGATTTATCTCAAGTTTGCCATGGACTGAAAGCGGTAATATGCCAAGACCCATTTACATATCAAAGCCTTTTCATAGAGTTTGGAAAACAATCATTCATTAGCTAACAGACAAAAAAGTTTCACACAACAGTTCTGTCATTAAGCCAGAACGAGCTTTTCTGGATAAGATTTTCTGTGTGTACCTTCATCAATATCTGGTGGCAGTCCCCCGACAAAGACTTTACGGGAATACCGCTCCACTCTTTCTCCATTCTGATGGGAGAAGCAGTGAGGTGATCCTAAACCACTGTGAAGAGTCTGATCCCCACGTCCATCATCCAAGAACCCGTCTTCCATCGGGAACAGTGAAGACTGACCTGAAGAGGGGGTTAAAAAAAAAAAGGGAAAAAAACCATACTAACAGAACAAAACACACACTGTTTAAATGATTCTTTAAAAATTCACTAGTTGCTGCATTAGCAGGAGAACTGTTTTGCAATCTTCCCTTTTAATAAGCAGTTACGTTCTAAATTTCATACAACCCTATAGTTTTCAGTATCATTCAGTAACTCAAATGCACTGTTTCAGAGAAAAGGTTGCTACCTTCCTAACTGCACTACAACTAATGAAAATTTGAAACAAACCAGAACTTCTAACGGACGCTCAAGTTGACCATTTTCCACAATATTTCATGTTTCCAATTAGATTTCTTTTAAAAAGGTGTAAAAACAGGAGAGAACATAAGCCAATTTTTTTTCTGGGACTTCACCAATAGCAGCCGTTACTAAAACCTAAGCTGTAGATATCATTCTCCAGTGAACAGCTTCTTACAATGAGTAGATACAATTTCACGGTGCAGATGGGAAAACAAGACATCTACCAGCGAAATATATTACACATTTAAATTACCTGATATCAAAACATATCAGAAATCACCCACTTGTAAATAACAAAAATATCCTGATAAAAACAGGAAGACCCACTGTAATTTACTGTAAACGGAGACTGAAAACTAAGCAACACTGTGTCGTTCCTAGAAGCAAGTTACTTAGATGTTACAACAGAGTTTCGTTAATGGACTCACTCTAAGAGAAAATGTCGTAAGCATGCTTCCCCGCACAGCCCAGTATTCTTCCGTGATAATCCTTACCATAGACTTCCTTAATAATATTTATTACTTTTAAATAAGATTCTTTGACTTATAAATGCAACTGCATAATATCATAAACAGAGCACACAAGCTGATCACTTCCATGAATTCACCCTTCAGTTACGGTATTCAACATCTAGACAACAAACTGAATAGACTTCTACTTAGTTAAAAAATATTTTAAGAATAAATAAATATATAGGGAAAGTAAGCAAACAAATAAGGTGTGCTACAGGTTTTAAGATACATTTCCTTTTGTCTGCAATGTCATATACTATGTCTGCTTTTTCAGAATTTATTACAATCTACCACAGTAATGTATTGGTAAGGTTACTTTATCCTGCTCTTCCTTCCTTCCCTTGAAATAAATTGATTAAAAAAAAAAAAAATCATCTTGAAAACAGAAAATTTCACCAGTTCCAATATCCAGCTATTTTCCATGCAAAAAATCAAACAGCTAACAAGTTGAAAGAAAAAAAAATACAAAAAAATCCACAGTCCATAGAATTTATACAAATAAAAATTGGAAGGCTCATTCAGCTTGCTTTATTTGAAATGTCAAGAATCTTTATACGCCTTTAATTAAAATAAAAGTCAACTATAATCAGGCCTATTTCTGTAGCTAGGCAAACCTGGTTCCTACTGCAATAAAAATATTGTAATACAGACTTGAATGCGATTTCATTTTCCCCTAAACAACTGATGTACATTTCATTTGTTTCATCTCATAAGACCCCAGTCCTGCAGGTATTGCTGGAAGGGAGCAGCTCTCCACACCTAAACAACCTTTTCAGATTCGTCAGCATTACTGCTGCTGTTGGGTAATTCAACATGCATGCTTGCAGGACCTGGTTCTTTAACTGAGCAGGCCAGGACATATATTCACTATTGTCTATGCTGCACCAAGAAAACTATCAGCACCCAAAAGAACCAAAATAAACTCCTCCAGCATTGGCATTCATAACATACACACAAACACAGCAACGTAGCCCTCCAGTGTAACAACTCATATAGATGCTGTCCACTGTAAGGATGGTGATCATTTCAGCCTCAATAGCACTACTGTGGAGCACTACCTAATCCAGTTAATATGTTTATTTATGGCATGCAGACTACATAAACTTATGTGAAACTGATCCTTTATAATCTTAAATTTTAGAATTTGCCTTCTAGTAACAACTTAATGTTATTTCTCCCATGAGACATTGTCAACATTAGAAAATTAAATAGGAATATTGTTACCTCGCCTTCTCCCATATGTCCTTGCTGCATGTTAAATGAGAAAGAAAACAGCCTTTCAATCATTGTTATAAGGACCAAAAGACCTTGTTTTATCGCCTTTATACTAACTCAGTGATTCTCAAGCCTTTTCATACTCCAGGTCATTAAAAATGGTGTTCACAAGCTGATCTCCCCCACCACCCACAACACCAGGCCTTCCTTGCACCACACTTCTGTTACTTACTGACAAAACATGTTGATAAAAGGCTGATAAAGTATATATGTATAATCAAAGAGACTTTTTTAAAAACAATTTTAGTTCTTAATTTGCACATTTATTTTTGAATCTATTCCTTAATCCTCTGCTGGGTGTACGTCTGTAAGTAAATGGATCCCTTCTCATGCACCAGGTCTCCTGACACATTCTACAACACACCAGGCTCTCTACTTGGCCAAGTGCAAGCACACTCGAACACTAATCTTCATCTGAACTGTAGAAAAAGCCCTAACACAAGGAAAATGGAGGACTAGGATGTTAATTTCTGTTTTGAAATTAGGTTGCTATAAAAGGTTTGCACAACCCACAAAATCCTTGGTTAAATTGTTACTGGAAAACAACCAGGTGAAAAACTTAAAGTCAAGGAAAAAACATCTCCTAAAATTGCCTTTCAGACCTCCTGCAGTCTGCGTACAACAGTATAGATTCTCTCATACTTTGTACACTTCGCTGTAATTATTTGACAGTTACCCACTGCTTCCTACTTTTCATTTTCCAAAACAAATCAATTCTACCACTAAAAACCAGAACATTTTTCTGTGCTAACTTCCAGGACCCATTGTCAGAATATGGCCAAATTTTCTAATCAAACTTGCACATTCTTTCTCTTTTAATCTCATTAAAATCTGTATCTGAAAGCAGGCCAACTGTTTTCAAAACTTGGATTCTCCTGGCAAGTACTATGAGAAACTCTGAGCACATCATGCATTTTATTTTGCTTCCTCATTCAAAATTGAGCTTGACAATTAGTTAAGTATTTAAATATTTGTAAACCACAACAAAACGGGAGTCGTTTCCTCTTTCAAAATAAAAATCATATCAATCCAATTTACTTCACGATTATTTCACATGTGTAAGATCATTTTACTTCTCTGATCTTTTGCTGATAGAGATACAATTAACACCAAGGAGATACAATTAACACCAAGAATACAAAACAACAAAGCCCTAATCTTTGGACTGGAGCATATTCTCGAGTGTTCACACAGGGATGGGCTTTATGGGAGAATCTTAAAGCCTGAATGCATTTACAAGTATCATTTTCCCACAGTAATTTTGGATTTAGAAATCCAAGATCCTGATAATAGTCCTCAAAAAGTTTTAAGGAACTTGTCTTTCATGGAAAACAATCAGCAATCTTACTGCATTTCTAATAAAGCTCAGAAGCCTTCGCATGTTTTGGAAAACATCAAGCACTTTCAAAACCAGCTCTGCCTATAAAGCTGTAAAAGTCTTGCTTGTGGTTTCTAAATGACTAACAAAACCACACAAACTCCATCACTTGGTACACCCGTTCTTGGCAACAAAGCACACAGCACAGACACGATTCCCACTGCGGATCTGTGACCACAATTTAGGTCACAGACTCCTCACTGCTTTGCCACCTGTGCCACTCAAGGCAATAGGATTTTTCTCCTTTACCAGTACGGAAAACAACAAAAAATGCTCAGCCACAGCTAGGAAGTATTTCCAGTGCCAAATACTAGTGAAGAGGTTTTGAGAACCAAATACTAAGATAATTTTTTTTTCTTCTTAATTTGCTTCTTATTTTCTGCACTTGCTTCATCTGACCCACAAAATACCAACATTTGACATTTCAAAACATTTCTCAGGAGCCACAGTTTACTAACTGCCCCAGTACAGCACAGATACAAACTTTCTCTGCTCACAGAATTCAGAGCTCATCACATGCCATTAATTTCACACAATGTAATACACAACATTGAAACTAAAGAATGTTCTTTTGGCAGGCCAGGAAGACAGCTAACTGTGATTACCAATTCTGTCTCTGGCTTTCATAATTTCATATTAAGAGAAATCTTTGCTATGGGAGTACCCTACATAAGCCGCAACATAAATGAAGCCTTAAAGGTAACTGTTACCAAGCAGAGAAAAAGGTTTAATTCTGAAGATGAGGATGCTTGCCTATCCCCTGCTGAGAAATGAGACAACTATAACATCGGTTTGAATTCCTCGGATCTGTTTTTCCTTTCCCCATTTCTTCAACATTTCAGATCATTACATAAAGGGCCCAGACAGATTTACTAATCTCATGAGATATTTGAGCAAGAATTAAGTTACAAAACCTAAAAAATATAAAGTGTTTACGCAACCAGTTCAACTGCTTATTAATAACCTATGCAGAGATATTTTTCCGATAAAATCAGTCTGAAATTTAAAATGCTATTAGCAGCTGCTTCAATTATTTTGTCACCTCAGTTTCCCCTGCAACACTCCTTTCTATGTAAGAAATAAGCCATACAGAAAGCCAATGATCTTTCGCAAAAATCTCCTGCTTTTACGGTCTTCCATTTTAAGGAACTTAATGAATAAGCAACCCACTCAAATTTTTGTGCCTTCTCTTCATTTGAGACACTTAAGGGGCTCCTGGCCATCTCCCTCTCTCTCTTTTATTTAAAAAAAAAAAAAAAAAAAAATCCCATCTTTTGTGTCTAACAATTCGATGTGTTGAGCTTTCTTCTCTCTATAGAGAGCACCAAATAGACTGTTAGCATGTCGTGTATAATCACACATCCAGTTCTATACAAAGTACACAGTTCCCAAAGACAAAGATATTCTGCTGAAGAAGCATGAAAAAATGTATGCAGGAGTCCTAAATCACTTGAACCCCAAACTTACTATAAGCTTGTCCTGCAAAAAAAGTGCGCTCAGGCTGAGCACCCGATGCTCTTTAACGGTTCTTGCTGCCTTCCAGTCTGCAGGATGGAATCTGCAATTTCAGGTGTATTTTGTGCCATTAACTGGAAGATTTACATAAAAAGGTCAGCTCAAGAGCAGCCTGTTTAAAGCACAAGGACCAGAAAGCAAGATCTGTATCTCCTGTGGATGTCATCCCAACTTTCTAAGGCCACATTACAACTAGGAGAATTATACAAGCATCCACAGTTAATATTAATATAAACATCATAAAACCCTGCAATGGACAGAGCAACGAACACTCCAAATTAAATTAGGGTTGTACCTTCATTCTCACTACCTTGCTGTAGTTGTTTCAAGGCATGCAAAGTCCAGGTTGATGTAACGGTTCTGTACCAGTTCTGTACCTAATTCCCATCTTTAGTCCAAGAGCTCCTCATGGCAAGGAATCTGTTCTTCACCATGGCAGAGGCCAATGTAGTAACACACTGCAATCTTTTACATGAGTCATTGATATGCTCTCATTTCTTTCCTCACAAAGATCAAACCAGACTAGTTTCATTAGTGAGCTCCAAGGAATTTCAGGTTTCCGTGCACATTAATCACTGAAGTTACCAGAGAAAAAATTTTGAGATTTAAAAGGGACAAATATTCATGTCGACTCTTTACATAACCTGACTGTGAGAACAGGACAGACCCAATCACACTCTTCCACCAGGCATTAGCTCTACCACTGAGACAGCTTCCCACCATCCAGCTCCAGGAAACTAGGAAACTTCTGACAATTTGCATACACT